TAAACCCTACAGCCTAGACGGTTCTCCTCGAGCTCGGGTCTGATCGGAACATCTTGTTCCCGATCGCAGCCTGTCGCCCCGTCAGGCATGTGTGCATATCCAAGGCTTCCTAAACCAGGATGAGCTCTTGAAATGCACTCTTCATACTTCATACAAGTATAGAGAGCTGAATATGGGACAGCAAGGCTTAATTCTGCAGTATCAGCATCTTACCCGGCGTGCAGATGGAAGAGCTTTCTGATGCTACGCGTTGAGACGGAGCTCACAGTGTGTTGCGATGACATAATATATTCTGCCCTGTAATGTTCGACAACATATTCCAATATATTACAATATATTGTAGTATACTATATTATATACGTTATATACTATTACATTCGGGTTCCGTTTTCTCTAAGCCCTCCAGGGCTCCTCAATCTCAAACCCCTGGGGGCCTGTTGCCTCGATGTCGGTCACGTCCGGCACCTCACTTAATGTCTTGGCAAACGTCGCAGCGTCGCAATCACGAAACGGAAGGTTTGGGGGAGGCTTCACAGCAAGTACACCAGGGCACCTCCCCTTCTGCAGTACCCTGGCCTCCTCCTCGCTGTCGGAGTGGATCACGAACTCCTCCGCCTTGCAGGTCACTCTGCGAGCCTTCCCTTTTGAAAAAGACGAGCAGAATGCCTCTTTCACACCTCAACGGCTGTGACTGCGACGACAAGTCCCCGCCTGGCTGGCAGGCCGCAGAACCTTCCAAACATGCACCAAGCTGGGGTGCTTTAGAGTGGTTGAGGGGCTGCTCCACAGTAAGTACACCGCAAGGCCTATCAGAATGCACTGAAAGAACACCCCATGGCCCCAGTATGGATGAAATTGCGGCAAAGGCCCTCATCCCAATTCTGCTGACCTTTCTGCTGGCCAAGTGTGTAGCCCGGTGTAAGATCGTACAAGTGTAAACCCGGTAAGAAGAATGAAACCGGCACAAAGCTCTCACAAACAGGGCTCAGCATTAGGCCCCATGACCTCCTGCTCGCAGGGACGATTGGCAGCGGCATCACGCACCAGCAGGCATAATTCGACTTTGTCCGGACACAATCTTCGGTTCGTCGTATGACCTTCTTGTGGCCGGAAGTGCAAGCAACTGCAAGAGTAGGCAGCGCAATAAGGCGGCCCGCGGAGGCAACAATGTCCAAAGGTCGATAGGTTTGGGGATCTACGATGATGTTCGTGTCATCTCGGCACAGAAGCTATGCTCATCCTCTCCGTAGCACAACCATTCTCTCGAAAAACATTTTGAGGATTAGGGCACCTCCCCTTATGCAGTACCCTGGCCTCCTCCTCGCTGTCGGAGTGGATCACGAACTCCTCCGCCTTGCAGGTCACTCTGCGAGCCTTCCCTTTTGAAAAAGACGAGCAGAATGCCTCTTTCACACCTCAACGGCTGTGACTGCGCCGAAAAGTCCCCCGCCTGGCTGGCCGGCCGCTTGGCTTTAAGCAGCGCCAGCGAAGCGTGCAAGACCTTGCAAACATGCATCGAGGAATGGTCCACCACCGGTACAATAACAGGCACCGAGCGCAGCAGGATGCAACTGCAGCACCATCCTAAAATGCCCTAAGAATACACTCAAAGTCCTGCTGTCCACGCCTGTGCTATTTCTGGAAGTTGGCAAGTGCACAGGCAGGCCTCTCGTTCTCTGGCCCATTGCTGCCTGCCGCAAACGCTGAGAGACTGATCCCTGCACCAGTCGCAATTGGTCACATATTCTTAGCAATGTCGTCTTTGAGGCGACTGCAGCATCTGAAGCTGAAAATGGATCATGGCCAATATACAGTCAAGCCAGTAGAGCTCAGTGCTGAAAAAATTGCGCAAAAACTATAAAGGTACGGGGAGAGGCCGGGGCCCATGGACCAACCTCTCCAACTCCATGATCTTCTTCTGCTCGGCCATGTCGGCTACGGCGGCACGTAGTTGAGCCTGCAGATCCTCGATTTCGGTCCTGAGTGCAAGATTCGTTATTGGGAGAACTTGATGGGACTACATGCCTTCGCAATGCTACCATCTTCATGCCTAATTGATCAATCTTTCCGCAAAGCATCCGCACAGCCAAGATCTCAGTCTCCCAACTCACCGGCTGCGCCTGCCCGGGTGCTATACTCACTGCATTGCCTTGGAGGCCTTAACTGCCCCAGCAAGCATGCTTCTCTGCAGCTGGCTATGCTCCTCATGTCAAGACAGCTGCTCCGGCAAAGTATCAATTCCTCGTCCGGAATCTGACCTACGCGGCACGAAGACCCGCCTGTGATTCAGTTGCGCTCGCAGGCGATTGGGTCTTCCTGGGCTGAAAGGACAGTTGGAACGGGGGGCGAGGCTTGAGGCCCCCCACTCTCATGCGAACTTGTTCAACCCCTTGGGATGCATGCACGTCCCCGACCCCGACGATACGTCACACCCTTCGGCTGGCCGATGCTCGCTGTATGCAAGCTCTTTGCCGAAACAACCGACCCGGCTCTGTAGCTTGAGTCTGCAAGGGTGATCGTTGGAGTTGGGGGCACGAATGGGGCCTCTCCAAGCCGCTCAAAGCCTCACAATCACAACTGATGAGAAGCTGATGGAACGGAGCCATTTTAAAGCTCTCCAGAGAGATCCAGCAACCCTTATACCAGTACTCTTCACCAATGCACTGCACCACACTGCAACATCTGCAATCTGAGGAGCCGCCGCTTCGAGGTTGACCTGTCCACAAATCAGTGCACTGGTGGTCATGATATGCTAGGTTTAGCAAGGCAGATCGAGTGGTGACGCACATCACGTGCGAGGACTTTGAAGTCAGTATAACTCAGCGGCATTCGACGCAGTGGTCTCCTGTTGGGGCTAAAACACTTAAAGCAGCGAAGACAGCAAATACTGAGAACACAAAATTCTTAAGACATCCCGCAGCCACATAAAGCCAAGAGCTGCATAAGACAAATCAGGACCGGGCTCACACGAGCATGTCGGCTCATCGGATTGGTGGTCCTGTCTTCTCCGGAACATGTGACAGCGCAGATTCACGGCTAGAGCACCATCGACGAGTTCATCTCGCAAGCCCTCAGAAGCCATCAAAGAATCAAATGGAGCAACACTTCATCAAAGCTTGGGCTCCGCTCCTTGCTTGCGAGCATCCTGCGTCACGCAGGTCAATTGCATTCAACCCTATACGACGAAACCTGGAAACAAACAGAACATTGCGCGGCACTACCATCCTGGCGATCAGAAGCACGAAGCATGTCAACATCTCTCGGAGTAGCAGCAGTAGCAGTTGTGGTGAGGAGAGGTACGGGGACACTGAAACAGCAGGAGACTTGTCAACCGATGACATGATCACCCAAATCACCGGCGCATGGACTCCACCGGGCTCCACCTTGCCTTGACCGGCCTGCCCTCCATCTTCGGACGACTTCGTGGCTTTGGCCTGCCCCATGACCCGGCCGTCTTGGCATGACGGGGGCAAGCTCTTATCGTGCCAGAGAGAACTACGTCATACCACATGATTCCCTGCCAGTGTTCACCCGCAAAGACCAACGCTGATTCAGGGCTTCCTGTTGGGGCGGAGGGGAAAGCAGCGGGAGGGCGAGAACAGCCCTCGGCCGGAACCGGCTTCGGGCATATGGGGTTTAGGGTTAGTTCATTGGCATTCGTAAGTAGATTGACAAGTACCCGAAATAAGGTCTTTAGCCGACTTTAACGCAAGCTACTACTTGTAACCCAATTAACTGCCCACGAACCTCTAAGTACTCTGACCCAAATCCCCCGAAAGCCCATCCTTGGCTACGGCCGCTGCTGTCCATGATGAGCAGCCGGCACTATCAAGGCTTGAGCATCGATGGCTCTCATCATCTCTCGTTACTCCATGCCGCTGACAGCATCATCATCGCCATAAACCCTATCATGAAGAAGGATCGTGCGTTTCCTGCTCAGTAAAGAAAGCATCGCTTAGCGAGGGCAGTCAGCCACTGGCAGGTTCAGGCGAAAAGAATATTTGCCCTTTCAAGCAGTGAATGGCTCCTGCTGGGTCCCATCGCTGCACTTTGGCATCGAAGATTGTGTGGGCAAGCTGCCTTCAGCAGCGTCTCTTTTCCTAGGCGAGCTTTGGTCGTGCCTTTTGAAGGTAAACTGACCGGCAACAATGCTTGAAACTTCGACGGGAGGACACGACACAATCCACGCATAATCGCTGGCCACAACTGTTGCCAAACAAGCTCACATGATGCGAACCCAACGTTCTAAGTCAAAAGACTGGCGGTGAAACAGGGAAATCTTGCCAGCAGGTCCCCATAGAGTGGTCCGACCTGTCTATCTGTCCATTCCGAACTTTTGTATGCTGGAAAGGCACATGCAAGCAGAGAAACATAACGAGGTAGAAATAAATACTTCGAAGACGAGCAACCAACTGCAAACAACGAGCGCGCGTACACATCCATATTTTCGGTGGGAGGGAGAGAGCGAGAGAGAGCGAGAGAGAGAGAGAGAGAGAGAGAGACAAAGAGAGCAGAGGGAGGGAGGGAGGGAGGGACAGCGAGAAAGAGAGAGAGAGAGAGAGAGACAGAGAGAGAGGGATGGAGGGTTGGATCCGTCTGTCTGCCTGTCTATCTATGTACCTGCCTATTTAACCATCTACCTGTTTATTTCATCGTCAGCTACTGCCTGCTGCATGAGCTACTCTCTGCTCATCCAAAGAAATTAGATGCTGGTGCTCTGACGCCCGAGCTGTTTACGACGGAACTGTGCTCTGAGGCGCCAGCTTCGAAGCGGAGCTTAACAGGTGCCTGAGGCATCAAAGACATGACCCGGCGTTCTTTGCGCCATTTCGGCATGCCGGATAAGTTGCGGTAGCCATACCGGAGGATGCATCTGTGGCGACCACACGAGTTATGTCTAAGTCCATATCATTACTCACAATAAAACCTATTCACTAAAGAAAGGAACCAGATCTCCGTCCTGCTAGCTCCAGCAACAACCCCTGACCGAACCCGCCGCCTCACTGCAGCTGCATGCGCTGCCACAAAGGCGACCCCTCGTCGTGGCCCTGCTACAGGCTAGGGCTTTAAGGGTTTGGTAGTTCATGTCTCGGCGTTCGGGATTAATTTTCCCAATCTCTTGCTGGGGTCTTTTACCCTGCTTCGGATACAGCTGAAGGTTGCCGAGTTCAGGGTTTTACACTCTCACAACTCGGTCAAGCAAGGCGAGGATTCATAAGCATGATAGTCGGTGTGAAACTGATTGAAGGTCCCCCTACCGGTACTATTCAAAGGCGAACAAAGGAACGAAGCACAAGTTCAGGGTTTCAGGGTGTGGGGTTTAGGGTTTAGGATACAAAGGGCTAAGATGTAGCCGTGATGTGAGGCCAAGGGGTCGAAAGGTTGAACAGCTTTGGGATGATTAGCGTTTCGACTCGCGCACGGGCACGCTGCAGGCACAGATTCGGGCGAAGAGGGCTTAGGGGGCTTGTGTTGTCAACCTGAACATCCCCTTCACGTAAGCCCGAAGAGTCGATATACCGACATATAATACTATGGCCTCCAAGGGGTGCTTGGGAAGTTCAAACTCCAAGGCTAAAACATACACAGTATCTTTATCCTTGGCTGCATCCTCGGCTGCCCCAAAGCCTGAAAGCCTTTCAAATCCCTACACCCCTAAACCTCCCGCCCTCAACCTGAATGCGCGAGCCCGAAAACTGTAAACCTTGAGCCCCCAACCCGAAACCCCAGGCGCAAAGCCTACGGTGGGGACTTGGTCTGAACTGTTCGGAGCTTCAGCGCTAGTAGCAGGGTTCGCGGGCGCAATCTTATTTATTTCTTTGGAGCTGTGTCGGGGGTGTCGTCATAGCATCGAGAGTTTGGAGAGGCTCCTTTTTGCTAGTGAAAGCCCTGAAAACAGCCAAACCGTTGAGAATCCCATGGTGCGAATCTGCCCTCGGCTGAGGCTACACCCGAGCCTGACATGAAGCCATCTTTCGCGCATGCACAGAGAGCCCTCTATCCTTATATGAACTATCCATGAATCTGTATATGTGCTTACTTACTATTCACATAGGTGCATATACACATATATATATATATACACATATATATATATAGACATATATTGTATACACATGTGTGTATATGTATGCATGTTTATTTGGTAATCCCCCCCCCCCCCCCCCCCCGCCCCCACCCACCCTCCCGCCCAAGCCCTCGCCCGAGCCATCGACACGCCGCTCCCTGAACCAGTCCTGCATCATCTTTGGCAGTGGCGTAGGCAAGCGCCTGACGGCCATCGCGAGTTGACCGCGATGCCCAACACCGCAGCAGCGGCGTAGTGCCAGCTCTGCTTCTGCTGTCACAGCACTCAGCATGCAGTCACTAATTACATCACAGCACTCTGCTCCAGCCGATGTCTGCATGTCTGGGCCCGCTGCTGGTCTGAAGGCTCCTCCAAAGCAAAGGGGCCAAGAGTCAAGAGGACGAGAAGCACAACACGATCTAATATTCCTCCGCATGACTATCTAAACCCGACGGTACCTGCAGAATCCACGAACTAAACAAGTAACCCTGTACACATCTGAGTTCACTGCAAAGGCCTTTGCGCAGAGCCTCAACTACGCTGTCCACAAGCGTGAACCTTCATCACCCAAAGGCAAACCTCAACCCTGGACCACGAAGTAACACGAATCCTGCAACCTGCGTCCAAGAATGCAACTGCACGATTTCTGCATGAACCACAGCTAAGCCTACAGCGAGTCCAATTTCAAACTCAAACCTGATATTTGTTTTGCACATGTACCGTGGTACGAGGGGCTTCGCACAGAGCACTCAAATCTCAAGAAGTGTCTGCCCATGAGCATGACGTCCAAACTTATCGTCAACATGCATGCTTGCATCTTGGTCACTTTGGCTCTTATCCAAGTGGGGCTGAAGTGATGTGTAACTCAAGCGAAACTCAACCTGTAACCCCGCTTCCCTCTGGACTGAGTTGTGAACGTCGATGGCCGGCTCCGTCCGCCGCTCGAGGTGGAAGAGCAAGAGCCCTTGGGGATCCTGCGGGCGGTCCAAGGCTAGGATCTAGAGAAGTGGGTTAATCAAGAACTGGACACGGGCAGTTTCTGGTTTGGGTTGTCCAAGTTTTTGGTGCTCAGCTTGTGTCTTTGCCTTGCGGGATGTCTGAGTGAACATTGGAGACTGCTTGTGAGCTTGGCTGCCGAGATCCAAGTCCATTTACGGAAACCTAGAACTGCATGGTTTATCGCCTCAAGGCTTCTTGCCATGTTGGACATATGCCTAGGGTTTGCCAGGGCACGGGTTTAGTTGCCTGTATTTGTCGCTGCGTGCTGCTACCTGTCTTTATAACTCTTTGTGCGGCGTGGATTGTCGGTGCTTTCTTCTGAGCCCCGAACGCAAGCATCATCACGGTCATGGTTTGGAGCATGCTTTCACCGGCAAGATGCCTGTGACTGTACAGGGCAATTGGTTCAACCGGATACCTTGAAATTGGACTGCCCAAGCATTTGTAGAAGCCTCCCAGAAAAAGAAGCGCATACTAACGCCGAGCCCCAAAACAGAACCCCAACACTAAGCAACACCTCCAGCTCATTATTGCAACGTAGCCGTGAGGCCCCCAACCCTAAACCCTGCAAACCCTAGACCCAACCCGTCTGAAGCCCGAAACCTCAAACACCAATCCCAAAACGGGCCACAGAAAAAACTACTACTGCTGGCTTCAAGGGGCGCTATCAACCCCATGCCAGACAGAATAATCACGGCCATGATTGGCATATAGGTGTCCGAAACTATTTTTTGTTTTTTTTTCTCTCTCTCTCTCTCTCTCTCTCTCTCTCACACTCTGCCCGGAATCGTCCTCAGCGCTGGCCTTCTTTGGCGGTGGCGCTGGAGCTGCTTTGACAACCGCACCCGCCTGGCAGCACAAACAGAATTATCCGGCCATGATTGCCATAGGTGTCCGACGTTTCTCTCTCTCTCTCTCTCTTTCTCTCGCTCTGCCCGGAGGCGCCCTCAGTGCGGCCTTTTTTGGCGGCGGCCCCGGTGCCTTTTTGGCGGGGGGAGCCTGGCACCACAGACGGAAGCCAAGCTCGGGGTGCAGGGCTTAGGGTTTGGGAGTTTATGTATCAGGTTTGGGAGTTTAAGTGTTGCAGGGCTTCAGGGTTTGGAGAGTCCAGAGCATTCAATTTCAATCTTTACCTGCGCAGCAACAGCCTCCGAGCATAAGTTACACGGCATGGGGATTAGGTGCAATCCTCAGGGTCTTGATGCTCGATTGGCGGCGACATGTTTCATTTCCAGCACTTCATATGGATGTCTCCAAGAGCCTTCTAAATCGGAATCGGAGCTTTAGGGTGGATTACATTAGAGACCCTTCACAGAAGCTTTCCAGCAACCCTAGAGAACTCACATAGAGGCCTTTAAAGCCCTTACAGAAATCTTGCCTTGGGGTGTCGTCTTCAACTCGAAGGATTTAGGGCACAAAAAGGGTTCAGAGATCTATAGGATTTAGGGTTTAGGCGTTTCCGGGCCTGGAGAGCACCTTTGGGTAGAGGCCCATCGCGCAGCATTGCCAGAAGCCTGGGCAACAGTCTGACTTGCACCTGGAAAGGGCACGAGAGTAATTAAGATCTAAAGTGGGACATGACGCGTTGACTGGCTCACTTGCTCTTTGCCGAGCGGGTAATGGCTCCGAGGGTCCTGGAAAAGTCCTGTAACATTATGTGACTTATGTGAGCTTTTATGGGATGCTTGAAAAGGACTTCAGTAGGGTTGTATAAGCATTTGGCTGCAGATTTTTTTCAAGGCTCCATTTGAGGACGAAGGGTTCGGGTTGCGCACACCCTAATAAACCCTTAACCTCCAAGATCCAAACGGCAGCAGGGAGCCCCTCGCCCACCCGGCCGAGGCCGAAGGGAGCAACCCCAAGGTCCGGGGGCACAATTTTACAGTTGGCTATGTAGCTACGCATTACAGAAACATCACGGTAATTTTGTAGTACGATTTATAAGAGCTGTTGCAAACATCGACAGACGAAGCGGTCCCACGATCTTTCATGCCTCCCGCAAGGACTGCCTCTACAAACTACAAACATAAATGCTTAAGCTTCCCTGCGCCCTACTGCTGATAATTTGGGGCTTAGGGCTTAGGGACCTACCACAAGGTTGTGGAGGTAGGAACAGTTGCGTGCAATCGCGCTGAAGAATCGCTGCCCACTAGCTAAATCCTGAAACGCACCCCCCCCAACAAAACAAAAAAACAACCTGACAATCCAAAGTCCGGAGACAGGCCAGCTTCCATCCAAGGTATCATCACCCTAAAGCTCTTCACCCTAAATTCTATGTATCACTAAACCCTCTGTGCTTGAGGGGGGCTCAACAAACAGGGGCTCGCGCGGTCCACCACTGCCACCACCAAGGATCCCCCTGCCACGCGCGTAGGACTTTGGTGGTTGGAGGTTTTGCGAGGAGGGGGTTGTTGCCACAGCAAAGAAAGCCTACGATTACTATAGATCCCTATTAGGGTTATCATAAAGAAACCCGATTATTTGCTGTAGATCACTGTTACGGTTACCACAATTGGGATCTACACAAGAACCGAGGAGGTTTCGCGCAGCTCATTCAAAGCAGGCCCGGGTCTCCTGGTAGTCGCCCTCCATCGGGAGATCCTGCCAAAAACAAAAAGATACGACAACCGCATACCCAATGGATTCTTCTTCAGATGGTTCGGCTCTAGCGGAGGAAGGGGAAGCAGCAGTGATAGCGGTAGTCGCGTGGTGGTTGTGGTGCTGCTAGAGCTCAAGGGAGCCAAATCGTGGCACCGGCTTGTCCTTCAGGCCCCCAGCGCTAACAGTCTCTAAGTTTTTCAATGCCAACCTAACCTAATAACCCCTAAACCCCTCAAGCCACAAATCCCTAGACCCTAAGCTTCCAAGCCTCGAATCTTTCAGGCCACTTAAGGCATCTAAGGTTGCGGGGATGGCATTGCTCGTGATCTGATGATGACGATGAGGAGGACGATAAATTAACATGATAATGCGGATGTACGCAGGATCTCTGGCAACTCAAGGCTGCAGTGCGCTAAGCTTGCGGGATCTTGCGGCAAGCATGGTATACTCCGCACTAGCTGGACATAGACTGATGTTGGATACCTTCTGGTAGCAGTGTGGTGTATGTGGTGTAGCCGAAACTCTAAACTTCATCTACTGCAACCTTACGCATCGGGATCAACCAGTAGGAAAATGTATTCTCAATCACCCCTCGTCTTGTAAAGGGAGAGCTGGGTGGCTTCATAGTACACGTCACTCGAGGTGCTCGGGTAGTCCCGGACCTAAACTCGGGCGGGATTTTGTGACGAAGCACTGCGTATTTCCTGCCTCGTCGTAAACGCGGTATATGGAGTCGCCTAGCAATGTGAATGATCACGTCTTAAATCAGGTTGCGGAACTGGCCTGCGTTCACGTTCCTCAGCAAGGCCATCTCGCGGTTATACACCTGTTCGGAATAACTTATTCCGTGATTAGCTTTATGATTCCCCAGCCTCCTTGGCGAGTTTTCCCTGCCACCACGAAGGATACCTAAGCAGCAGACAAGACCAAGAACGTAAGAAGCGACAGAGCGTACGAGGCGGGCCGAGGCGAGGACGCAAACTCGGGAAAACCGTCCTGGATCTGCTACACCTGGAGCCCGAAGCCGCGAGCAAGGCCGCAAATCTGATGCCAGCAGACCAACAAAACGAAATACATCGAATACATAGCAGAAACTCAATCACCCGACATACAACACGCACATACCCTCCAAAATTGAACTGCAAAGGCCCTGGACTTGGCTTCTGCGGGAACATGGATCCTTTATTGACGTGGCAATGGGGGTAGATCTGAAGTTTAAAGGATCCTCAGTCCTGAACTGAACCCTAAACCCTGAAACCAAAGATGACCATGTTGTAGGCCATCTGCTTACCTTGGTTTCGGCTTCGTTTTGTCGCTGCCAGGCCGCAGTGATCGCGGGAGGACTGGCCCGAAACAGTAAACATCACAAAGCCGTTTAGAGCCAAAGCAGGCTAAATTTCAGACCTCAAGCCAGGACAGCCCTGCCATGAAACCCCCAGAAGCAAAATTGCGAAAACAAACATAAGACGTCACAAAAGAACCCCTCCGTTCAGCAAACGGACGACGGCATCCCCATGACTCTTCACCAAGTCGCAGTAGTGTCGAGCACGTCTGCAATGAGGGCAGAGAGATCGATCCTGCAGGCCACAAGGCAAAAAAAGCCTCCGATATTCAGCAAAAGAGATCGCACCTACCGGTTAGGAAGCTTTCAGCGATCTCAAAGTGATGCTTGCAGCTTCTTCTGGTCACTGGCTGAGCGTCGCCGGAGTACGTTCTCAAGTGTAAACCGTGATGGCTCCGGTGCAGAAAACTTGGGCTCCCAGCTCGTCCAGCTTCTGTTCCTCGCACCGCTCCTGGCGCCATCTTACGGTTGGGGCTTCGGTCTGAGCGTGGCCTTCTGTGTAATGTGGATCCTACTGGAGAAGTTTCCCCTTGCGCTGCCAATCGCGAAGCCGTCCAAACTCCAACGTTGGGTTCAGGGTCTTTCTTATTGTGCGCCTTCGATGGGGCAGAAGGCAGCGGTAACGGGCTACGGGTCTGTGACTCGTCAAAGGGCACACAAGGTTGAAAACTGAGATACAGCTTTCCAGCAGAACATCTGTCCGCCTGAGGCCGCAAAGCCCTCAACCCTAGACTCCAAGACCTGGTCTATGTTTTGGATGCGATGGCTGAGGACAGGGTTCAAGGCATGGGGCGCAGGCTTTTGCCACCGCAGTACATTAAGTGTCCATCCGGAGATCCCAACCCCGGTGGACCAGCCCTAACACAATCACAAGGTCTTCATGGCGAGATGAGGAACTTGACCACGCCGGTCGTGAAGCCATAACCAAACGGCATGGGTGCGGCTTTTCCTGCCGAGTGATGCAGACCAGAAGCGATTGCCCTGTATCTACCCCTAGAGCAATACAGAACACAGACTAATTTGCGCTATGCAGGGGAAGCCGGCGCCAAGCCCGAACCCCCCAGGGATAAGCTTAAGTGCCGTACATGTGCGCGTACACACATACTCGGTCATAGATAAGCTCATGTAGAAAAAAATAGATAGATAGATAGATAGACAGTTTGATTAATGGATAGACAGACAGGTCAGCATGAGATAGTATGGAAGAGATTTTTGTATATTGATTTAAAGACGTGTCTGAGGCAGCCGCCTAGCAAGGAGCCGGGCCGCAAGGATCGAAGTCACAAGCGGATTTTTGCAGCGAGCCAGCTTTCGTTTGCGAGCAAACAATGCATGAGTTTGCTGCGAGTGATGGATGGTTTCACTTGCACCTTACTCGGGATGTGCCATGCCATTTCTGCTTGAAGCTCGATCGCTCGCACCCACTGATGTTCAGCGGGGGCTAAGGGTCGCGCGGAGAGCCTTCTTGTGCCGCAGCTCTAGGATCAGAAGCGCACCGCCCCAGTGACAGTAAGATCGGACCGACTTCTACCCGTATTGACATTGAGGTAGTAAACTGCTTGAACCTGCATGGAATTTCGCTGGAGCAGCACACCGGGTCATCGAGACAAAGGGGCCGTGATGGGAAAGCTAAGCGCACCGTTCCCGCTCTCTTTAGCGGGCCGCGCCGCGATCAAATGCTCAGCGCGCGGTGCCTATCCCGAACGGTTGGACCCGGCAGCCCGGAAGGGCTGCTGCTGCTGCTGCGGCTTCGGCTGGATTGAGGCACTTGCGCCGATGACTTCACTCTCAAGCCGATGCACTTCATACAGGCACAGAAACTTTCTGGACTCTGGTGGTGGTAGTAAACGCACGAATCTACAGCCCAGGGCTCGCAAGTCTTGCCTTCTAGGTACACAGTTCCAACTGCAGGGAGGAGCATGTTCACACGAGATCTCCTCGGGAAGTCGTAGTCGTAGTCAATGCCTTGCGTCCATTTTCTGAGACGCCTGCTTCAACAGCGAAGATATCTGAACATGACTTGGCCATTCCCGAAGCGATTTCGCAAGCGGAGCCGGCCGCTGACGAACATCTGCTCATGATATGAGTCCTGCTCTCCACCCTCAGCACTTACGTGCACATGCTCGTCCCGAAAAACTGAAGAGTAGAATAAAAGAGGTTGCAGGAATCAGTCATGTCACAGAGGTGCAGGTCGGCGCCGGGGGCCAGCCAGAAGCTATCGTCAAATCTGAGTCCACTCGGAAACAACAAAGTTATACAAAGCTCCCCACGTCACTACTGTGCTTTGATGCAAGACAAGATGGGAACTCCAGCGATCGAACGGCATGGAGGTCTGTCTGATGGCAGCTCTTGAAACACAAATCGCAGTGTTTTGTGATTGTTGGTGCTTCTCGCTCCAGCTTAGCAGAATGCCTTGTCTCTCAAGCATGCTGCCAACAAAAATCTTCAAGCTGTATGCGGTGGTAAAACCTTCAGGTTCACGCAGCATGACAGCTTCTAAACCTAAAACTCGCGAAGCTGTGAAGTGACCTCATGAGAGAGGGAGAGGAGGGCCTTTCTCCTTTTTTATCTGCGGCCCGGGCATGGTTTTCTCATCCGCGTGTGCGTTGCCAGCTGCCTCCACCTCGAACCCGAGCGGAGCCCTCTATCAGAGGCAGTTAAGTGCGTGCGATCGCTGTGATGCCTTGTGCGCCTTTGTCGCCTTTGGCCTTGCCTTTGCCGTTGCCACCCTGCGGTTGAGCACACATGTTGGGCAGACATGAGGACATGCATGGACATGCAACCGCTCGAGACCGCTCCATGAATTCGGAGCCTTGCCCTTGGCTTGGCCTTTGCCACCACCTGTGTCGCAGGGCACATCGCGTCGTCGCTCCTCCCCTGCAAGAACATGAGTCCCACCTTGCTTGCCGGCTCCTTTTGGCTCCCGCCTCAGAGGTGGTGGCACCAGCCAAGGATGTCGAGATGCCACTGCGTTTGCATTGTCTTGTGCAATGTCTCAGCAGCCGACAGCCAGGTGTCCATCGCGGGATCTCGGCCAACGCACTTCTCATTCTTCTTGGGGCCTGGACTTGGGGGGTCACAAGTCGGTCACAGTCAATAAGAGTCTAAGACCAAGTTGTAGCGACTTTGGCTCGAGCTCGGCTGCTGGCCCGGGCTTTCAGCGAGCATGGGGCTGGGGTCCCCCATGCCCCGACCCATGAGCTGCTGATCACCACCTGCAGCTCTCGCTTCTGGGAAGAGAGCAACGGCAGAAGCCAAGCGAGAGCTGAAGAGAAAGAAAGAGAGAGATAGAGAAGCACCCACATTTCGAGCACGCGCTGTACGAATGGGTCCTTACAATAGGACCGTACGAGCAGCATGGTTTCATGGAGCAGTTTCAGGCACGCGACATCTCTTGCTGCTTCATGACGTCCGTGGGCTGCCAGCCGCCTGCATGGAGTCTTGTTCTGAAAAGCGAGCACTTGCTTGGAGCGTGTGCGCGCCTCTTCGGCCCCTGCCCTGTGGCCCCTTCTTCTCGACCCACTTCTGCTGTGGCACGTCCTGGGCGACTGGAGAGCAGCTCCAGGGAAAAGATCCTCAGCACCTCTTCTTCGGAGAAGGTCAGCCCTTGCTACCCTTTCCACCTGGTCAGCATGAAGCAAGACTGCACATGCTGCCAAAGCTCCCGAGCCCCCAGGCCTCCCATGTTGTCGTCGTTGTGATGCTTCCCGCCATCTTTGCCGTCCTGATATGAGTACGGAGTTCAAAGGCTCAAGGGCTCGCCACAAAACATGGAAGAGTGCCGCATTTGAGACCTTCTTACCCTTGCCTTGGCTCTGACCAGTGAAGTTTCCAGCCTGAAGAAGCAGAAAGAGCCGGCTCTGACGAGCACGAAGCGCTTGCGCATCGCTTAAGCATCACTCGTCCAGGCCAGCCTTCTGTCCATGGCGGGCGTCTGGCCGGACCTCCACTATAACGAGGATAGCAACCGATAGGTGCAGGTGCCATGGACTCTGCATCATTGCAAATCCCCAAGGCCTCACATTCATGTCCCCAAGCTGATTCATCTCCTTGTGACGGCTCTCGGGGACCCCACCATCCCCAACCAGATACGCCAGCACTGGAGAGTGAGAGCTTCATCGAATCTACACTATACTATACACTACATAATTTTTCATGCATGGAACGAACAAAGTTAATGCTGCAGCAAATGTTCAGCTCCCGCGACATGTTTTAACTGGCGACTGAGGCTGAGGCGTAGTATTTCTGCGACAATGTGTCCATTCTGCAGGACCGCAAAGTCTGAGAGGTACTTGACGGGATAGCCCGGGCGAGCGAAAGCCAGCAGGCACGTAGTGACAAGTGGGCAAGAAGCTGACTGCATGGGTGGTGAGGAGAGGGAATGATGCAAGGGAAAAGCAGGTGAGGTTTGAGACTACGTTGGCAGGTGATGCCTGTGAATGAGCAGACTGGACGAGCAAACGGAGATTGACATGCCATGCAGCGGCAGTGAATGGGCCCGCACATCAGGAAGTGTATGACATGAGTGAGGCGGCTGGAGGAAGGAGTTGATGGACGGGTTGATTGAACGAAGCAAGCTCTATGGGTTCCTGCTGCATTCGCTTCGCTCCATCTATGACTCGAACTTGCCAGCATCTGATTGAGTCTGAGTTTCCCACCTGTAAAGGAGCGGCATCCTTCTCACAGCAGCAAGTACAAGGACACACAAGACGAAGTGGCGAAAGCATACCAAGATGTAAGGTCTCCCCAATTGCACACACACACACACACACACCCACACTACTGTATGTCACTATGTACACTGACCAAAATTCCTAGCGACTGTATATACACGCTTCCGATACAGACAAAGTGCGCTGCCCTCAAAGGGAGGCCTGCAGGTCAGCTTCGCAGCGGAGGTGCAATCCGGCTATGTTGGCACTGCCGATAGTCTGCTATGCAACCCTCCAAAAGCTCCGAACGCTTGCTTCCCGGTCGGATTGTTCGCGTGTTCTTTGGACTTTTCAGGCCAAACAACATGCAGGTCTCTTGAACCGCATGAGAATGGTAGTATGAACAGTTCCACTTGCAGCAACAAGTTGACGCACCGCAGGAATTGGATATGCCTCGCCCTTTCTGCTCGAATCGACAATAGAGCCAGTTCGAAGCTTCACCCGTCGAGCACTCGGCTCGCACTCAGAGCCTCGCAGCGCCAAACCTGCAACACCATCGAGGAGCAGCCTTTCGACCCCTGCGCCACGCAATTTGCGCGACGAGGCAGGCTTTTTTCTGGCCGGGCCCTGCACCTGGAAAGAAGGTCCCCCATTGCCGCACATGCTACGTGTAGCAGTGTAGCACGGGACTGCTTTGTCGCACGCTGTTCTACCACATCACTCGGTCAATGTGGTGGTCGAGTCTACTTGCTTGTGGTATCTTGTGGTTAGCCGCCTCTGCGAGCAGGCGGTGGCGTTGGCGTGACCGATGGACGGATTCACTTGCACAATCTTGCTGCCGCACTCGGGATTCTATGCTGTGCCATTTCCGCTCTAACCTCGCTCGCCTCGCGCCCACTGAACCGCTGAGGGTCGCGCTGAGAGCTCGTCCCTCAGCTCTAGGGTGAGAAGCGCGCGGCTCCGGTAAAAGTGAAGAGAAGCAGAAGCCCCTTCACGCCAACAGACCGGACGACAGACAGGCACCCTACAGGCACAGGACCCGCTGATGACGGAAGTAAAGTAGAAGCTTGCCTAAGACTCGATGGGACTTCGCCGGAACAGCACCTCGGGAATTAATGCCTCACGGCAGATTGACGAGCTTCGGGCCCCGTCTCACATCGCCTCGAGCGTTGAAGACAGGGGCCCGGCTTTCAGGAAATGCCCAGAGGCCCAAGAGTTTTCGGCACTCTCGGGGATTTCATGTCCGGAGAACTGCGGAGGCTCCGATGCTCCATGCACAGCCTGAAGAGCTGAGTCAGTTCTTTAAGGGGCACTGAAAGGGTGGGGGGGGCGCTCCGCTCCCGCTCACTTTCACAGGAGCCAGGCTCCCGCTCTCAGGAAAAGCTGCCGGTGGCACCCTCAGAGCCCATTCCGCACTAGTCTGACGACGGTGACGAGGAGAGGTCAGGCTGGGCATCAATGAAGCTGTGAAGCCGAGCGGGGAACGGATGCACAGACAGAGCTCAGAACCCAATCGCCATCGCCAACAGCACTGCCGTCGCCAAGGCCTGGACCGAGCCAAAGAAGGCGACCAAGGCGGTGGTATTGTCCGTGCTTCCTCGCGTAAAGATCTCTTGGAGCCCCTTTTCCCTCTTTATCCTCTTTCCGGGGCTTGGGGAACACGCGATCCGCACTGGCGCCTGCACGGAGCGCAGCCTGGATCAAGATCTCCGGGGCCTGGCACAACACGCCCACCGAACCAGCACAAAAAACACTCAGCACAGACTGCCAGTGGATTGAAGAAGAGAAGCCACAAAGTCATGGTCAGGCATGTGAGCACGCGTCTCTCGAAACATGAGCGTTCCCCTGCTCCTGTCGTTTCTCTTGTCCTCGTTACGAGGTGACGCTTGTGTCCCTTGTATCGATGATTACTTCGAAACACTAGCAGCAGCCTGACCAGCTAAGTAGCAGTCTACAGTCTGCACTCAACCCGCCTTGTCCTGCAGACGCTGGGCGACGATGCAGCTGACCAGCGCTCTCACTTGGGCATCAGACCTGATAAGCTACAAAGGACGTGAGGCACTCGTGCATGCCATCGACTGCAAGATAAATGCCAGTCATATTCATGCTGATGCTCGTGGTCAACAACACAAAGCACGCCATGCCGCCACAACAAATCAAGATACAACATCGTTATTCGACCTCAACATCAGCATCGTCATCATCCTCGCCCTCATCATCGCCATCGTGAGCAACATTGTCAACACCGCAGGATGACATCGACCAGAAGTAGCCGGCTCCGTGTGATTCGATGCATTCTTCCGAGTTCAGCACATCACGTCCCAGAGGCCATCGCTGGCAATCACCAGTACGGTGTCCTGCACCAAATCGCATTCGCCATAAATAGGACCTTGACGGGTTGGGGGGTTAGCCCATGCCCACGAAGCCCTCGAAACCCTACGTGACAAATATCTTCCGAAATACGGCGGAGCCCCTGCCGCAGACTGAAATCGTGACAGCTGCCTTTGTCCCGGCCTGTGGAACTTCGCGTGCGCAGATGTGGGGACGCCAGGTCACCCCTCAGGAGAACCGAGACAAGTCGAATTCGGGTTTCACGTTCAGGGGCATAAAACACGAGCTGACACGATGATGTTGCGGACTCAGTTCTGTACATCTGGATTTGCATATGCAGATGCAGAGATGTAGGTACAAGTATGATACTGCTGCTACTGTTATCATTGCATCAATGACCTCGCTGCACAAGCACCGCTGACTGCCATGATGGTGATGCTGACTGTCATCGAGCTTTGGACCTGGGCACCCGGCCACAGGACTTCAGGGAGTGGTCGCCCAGCGCGCGGCTGACTGCAAGTTGGCCTCGGCAGCAGGCAGCGGCCACAGCGGCAGCAGGCACTGCCACAGCGACGGCAAGGTCACTAGCAAAGGGACCCCTCGAGCTCATGTGAAGTTATGCTCACGCTGAGTCCCCACTAAGGCAGCGTCCCCCCACCCGGCCGTGATTTGCCACGAAGCCGCCTCCCAAACGAGAGACGCTGAAGAAGCAGACGGAAAGTACTAGGCTGGATCTCGAGAAGCCGTCAGAACGCCAATTGATTCTACATCCAAGGCTGAGGGTAGCTGGTCTCTATGACCAGAACCGCTGGGCGGGCCTTCAGCTTCCACCCGCTGTTTTTCGACAGGATCAGTAGGCCTGGTAGGCTCGCGAACTGCAGCGATTGATGCTTTGTTTGGGGAGGCGGCCGTGCCTGTGGTCGCGGGTGAGTCGGCACGCGCCTCAGGAGAGCAAGCCGAGGCCCAGCCACAGTCCCTCTCTGCCCCTCTCCTTTCGGGAGTCCGACTGCCGGACTCCAGGACGATGGCCCGCGAATCGCCCACATTCGCGGACTCGGACAAGGCTTCAAAGGTGGTTGCGTTCAGAAAGCTTCCACAGGTCTCTAAGAAGCCCCACGTGGAGCCGCAGCCCCGAAGCCGTCCGATGTGCCAGCACCTCGGGCCCAGATGCAAAAATCACTGCGAGGTCGTCTGCGAATCCTGTCGTGCTGTCACATCCGAGCCCGAGCGCCACGGTGGCCGTGCAGCCGCAGTGCCAAGTTCCCAGAAGCCTTAGACTCAAGGTTAGAGCCGTTGTCTGGACAAACCGAGGAACTGTCAGCGAAGGAGAAGAAACCGAGGGCCAGGCTTTAGCTGCTCATCGACTCGGCGGAAAGCCCTGCAGGTTTTCATGGCGCAGAAACACCTTTGCCGAGCTTTTGATGTCACTGTGCCTGGAGAGCACCTCGGCCACCACCTCATCGCCCACCGGCTCACCCGCAGTCCTGGCCGGCTAACACGTGTGCACACCATGGCGGCGCACGAAGACGGCTCTTTCCGGGTGCCTCGTGACGTTGAGGAGCTCGTCGAGAACTAGGCCGTGCAGCTTCGTCTGAACAGCGGAAGAACGGGGTCGCGTTTTAGCAGGGACTTTGGAAAAGCTCCCGTGGCCGAGGCCTGGCAGAAGTCCACCGCCTCAGATCCTCCGTGGCCATCGTACACAGCGAAGTAGCTCCAGAGATCGCCGTTCGGCTCCACCTCAAAAAACCAAGGCCGAGCTTTCCGACCCTTTCTGCCTGGAAGGGGTGAGCCCATGACAAGGAACGGCTCTATGTGCACGGCACGGTCCTCCGGAAACAAGCCGCTGGGAAGCCGCCCTGCTCCTCCAGTCCTGGCCCTCGGCTCCTCCTGGTACGCCCGGAAGGCCGCGTTGGCTTCCAATCCAACCCTGCCAGCTCAAAAACTGAAGCAGCAAGGGACGAGGAGGGGCGCTTTCCAGTCAGCCTTGCCTGCAGAGGCTTCCTCTGGTTCTGGGCACCAGCGCTTCTTTTGGTGCCTTGGGCCTGGCCGGCACATCTAACATCCAACAAGACCTCTCTGAAGAGCTCCATTCCTTCACATGAGAAGACTCCATGCGCGGGTTGGGAAAGGGCCGCGAGGAGGGGCCGCGGCACCTCCGGTGACTTGGAGGCGCCACCTCGCGGATGGGGTACGCTTCGGGATGGGTTGATTGAGATCTACGCAACGTGCATCAGGGGGGTGAGTCTGCATGCTCTTGCTGGCATCTCCTACGAGTCCCCTGCGTCATTTCAGCTAGCATTCGCAAGCAGGCGTCTAACGACGAGAGGGCTGCTCTGTTCCTACATGGCCCATCGCAGCGGAATAAGCGAGCCCCATAATACCAAAAGATCACAATGCCGCAGGCCACGGCAACCCCACGAAAAGATGACCCCTCACTGTCGCCCTCGACATCGAAAGCACCGAGGCGACCACCCTACCCAGGAGCACCGGCTCCGGCGGTGCCACCTGCGGCTCAAGCACCGCAGCATCTGCCCGACAAAAGAAAGGCCTAAACCCTAAGCGACACCCAAGACTAACCTAAAGCATCGACCGCAGGGTCTGAGACCCGCAGGACGCTCACCAAGTCCCCGACCCGGACGCAGAGCAACCTGCTGGGAGAAGCACTTCGGGCTCAACTGAGTTTCACATGGTCGTTATCACGATGAATATCGCAATGATGATCCACGTTACGACTAGTTCTGCAGCCTGGTGAATTTGGTGCTAGTCTTACGTGGCTGAGGGCATGGAAAATAGGATGCCTGTGCATCGGGCCCCTGCAGCCTCAAAGCAGGATCCCCTGATGGTTTCATGCAGCTGCTATCCCCCTAGATGCTAAAAGCCGATGCAGTTGGTCTATTGCACGTATGTTGAGGAGGTTCATATGCAGCAGGACAATGGCATCTAGATGCCTCTAGCAGACAGAAGAACATGAGCCCAACATCTCTTCCGATGTGCTATGCCTGTACAGCTCTTTGTCGCGTGGACGAAGCAAAAACCAGCCCATCTTGCCACCCAGCTGCCACGCCACTCATGCCAGGATGGAGCCTCTCATCACAGCAACATCACGTTTTCAGGGAGAAATCCTCCACTGATTAATCACCTTCACAAAAGAAATCCCAAGCACATTGATAACTCGTTCGCACCCCAATGGGTGGTTCACAATGTCTTGCATGGTAGAGCAAGACCTGGCAAGGCCATAGTCAAGAGATTCAAAGCAATGTGCTTGCTGATGATTCAGATGCACATGAAGGCCTGTATCTGAAGCTATCCCACAAAATACGACTCTGACCCCCAGACATCTCGAGCACTCCTTGTTCTCACATTGCTCGAGTGCGTGCCGCCTGGGGCCTTACATGCATCAAGCCTTGCGCCGCAAGGCGCACAAGCTGAAGAGTTGCAACACGACTAGGAATCCCGTCACTTCCTTTGCCAACTAGCTTCAAGCACAAGTTCTCGGCAGCATCTGGCCACATTACCGTATCTGCCCTGTCATCCCTGCCTAGATCATCAACTCAGACAACACACCGAGCGAAGCGTCCAGAAACATCCGCATTGGAATCCGCATGGAACAATGATACATGTTCGGGCGGCAGCTTCAAGCCAGCAGAAAGCCCCAACCAAGGAAACAAGCACCTCTGAAGCTTGCGTCGAAGCAGAAAACACAGTCGAGCCGTCTCGATGATGCTGCAGCTGGACGGCAGGAAACTCCAAACCTAAAACCTTCAAGCCCACGGCTTACGGCCTTCAGCAGGAAATCCGAATCAGAATCCTTCAAGCCTTGTCCGCTAAGCCCTAAACGTGAAATGATGAACCCGTAACCGCTATGCCCAAACCCCCCCCCAGGCAAACCCCAAATCCCAAGCACATAATCTTCGATGCTGAAAAGCTGCTCCCCAGAAGCCCCGCGCGGGCAGCCCTTGCCTTCGCGCATCTTGGAGATCTGAAGTTCCACTCATCGCCCCACCTGGAGGGGCGTCCCTTGTGGGAGTCCCCCGTACTGATGAGTGCCGTCTTCTGGGTGTAGGCATTGGGCGCCAAGTCTAAAGGAGCTGAGGTCTGGGCTTGGGAGAACCTACGCCAATGGCCGGAATTTGAGCAGACCTAGCAGACAAAGGTGGAGCCCAATACACCGCGCCGCCATACTGCATCAACCAAGTAAGCCTCAGATGTTTTTGCCACTCACGGCAGGAAATCTTCTGTGAAGAACGAAACCCTGAACCTGATGGAGCCCAGGTAACTCCAAGTCGGACTGCTGTTGCCATCGCTGAGATCATCACTGCTACTGGTCCTCCTTTTGGTGCCCGTGTCTTGTCTACGGCGGTTTGTACGGTAAGGTTCGTAGCTGAAGGCACGGCGCTTGCGATTTTCTTACCATGTGATCCTGGTACTTCCCACATGCCTCCGACAAATTCCTGCATAGAAAACTCTACACCCTGTGCTGGTGCCTGCACAGAAGGTCTCGCTGGGAGCTTGGACCTCATGGCCAACATCTACGCACGGAGAAGCACAGATACATTATATACAATATGTTCATTATACAGTATATAAGATACATATATACCAATATAGCATGTTGAATATAGAATATACATATGACATACTGATCTAACTCATTCAATCGGATCAAGCGTCACTGCTCAGCACTGCAGGCTACTCAGCTCCAACGAATCACTTGTTTCTGGGTGCGGCACGAGATTCGCCTGGCATTTCCAGAATATTAACACAAGACTTGTTGGGGCCTCTGACGAGCGTGCTTCATTCCCCTCATTCCAGGCGACCCCAAGAGACGTTTGCTTCCAAACACACTCGCACCGGGTGAAAATAGGATGTGCGAACCCATGAACTCTAACCTAGCTCGGCACTCCTTGGTGCATGGTTTGCTGCAGACCTTCAGAAAGCTTGAGTTCCCAGGCCTCCGGGACGAATTCAGTCCCGGCCTGCGTATGCAGCACGGATGAGTGACACCGGAAATGCCAGGATGCAAAGAACAAGCGAGCACTGCTGCGACACGTTCCGGCCCGCACAACGCTAGCACTCTTAGGAGGCTCCTGTCAGAACTATATATAGGTATTGCCGAAGGCGCCTCGCTGTCGCTGAGTCCATTGCAGCAATAGTTTCCCATTGCACAACCCCGAGTGGAAACAGGCTAGCAGGACAGCCGAAGCAAATCAGCGAGTTTGAACATGACATGTAGCGTAGCATCTGAACTTCCTTGAACATCATGCTTGGACACTTGGACCGCTTTGGAAAGTCCGCGAAAGCATGCAACGCAAAGCTTCAAGCGCAATACCGGACGTGTCTTCTGTGCCAGACCCCATTGGCGCTGTTCCCAGAAGATTGAAGTAAAGAGACAGAGACAGGCATAGTGATCATGATGATGAAGACGAAGATGATGACGACTACGAGGAGGAGGAGGAGGACTATGACGACGACACAAGAGCCTGCATGCCATACTTGCCACCATGACCAGTGTCATCAATGCCACTCTCGACCCAGCCAAAGATCTCGCTTCCCACAAACGCTTTGCATGCCTTGTTGCTTCACCGGAGTTCCCACAAACGGACACATTGCACACATAGAACAACAACCGTGCAAGTGCTTCTCAACCGGTTGAGGTGGAAACAAGCGGAAAAAACTTCCTTATCATGCAACTGCCAACACTGGCTTCATCGCTACAGCCATCTGCAAAGGCAGATGGAGCTTTTTCCTTGTGTAAGTAGGTGTCCTATTTATTTGCACTGAAAACTATTGGTTTTTCGATAGACTCTCACTTGGCGGCTGGGCTTGGGAAGCAACGAGGTTCCTGTTGTGATCATTCAGCCAACACCTCGATTCAGTTGCACGAAGGTGTTGCCGCACTCGGGATTCACTGGAAGAGACATGCCGCGGCATTTTTGCTCTGACCTCGCTCTCCTCGCGCCCACTGAGGTTCAGCGGGGGATGAGGGTCACGCTGAAAGCCTTCTTGTCCTGCAGCTCGAGGGTGAGAGCTGCACCGCTCCGGTAAGAGCACACGGAAACCTGACGTAGGACCGACTTATGATCTTGAAACTTGCAGGGACTTCGCCGGAGCAGCACCTCGGGAATTAACGCCTGGCGGCAGATTAACCAGCTTCGGACCCCGTCTCACATCGCCTCGAGCGTTGAAGACAGGGGCCCGGCTTTCAGGAAATGCCCAGAGGCCCAAGAGTTTTCGGCACTCTCGGGGATTTCATGTCCGGAGAACTGCGGAGGCTCCGATGCTCCATGCACAGCCTGAAGAGCTGAGTCAGTTCTTTAAGGGGCACTGAAAGGGTGGGGGGGGGGCGCTCCGCTCCCGCTCACTTTCACAGGAGCCAGGCTCCCGCTCTCAGGAAAAGCTGCCGGTGGCACCCTCAGAGCCCATTCCGCACTAGTCTGACGATAGTGACGAAGAGAGGTCAGGATGGGCATCAATGAAGCTGTGAAGCCGAGCGGGGAACGGATGCACAGACAGAGCCCAGAACCCAATCGCCATCGCCAACAGCACTGTCGTCGCCAAGGCCTGGACCGAGCCAAAGAAGGCGACCAAGGCGGTGGTATTGTCCGTACTTCCTCGCGTAAAGATCTCTTGGAGCCCCTTTTCCCTCTTTATCCTCTTTCCGGGGCTTGGGGAACACGCGATCCGCACTGGCGCCTGCACGGAGCGCAGCCTGGATCAAGATCTCCGGGGCCTGGCACAACACGCCCACCGAACCAGCACAAAAAACACTCAGCACAGACTGCCAGTGGATTGAAGAAGAGAAGCCACAAAGTCATGGTCAAGCATGTGAGCACGCGTCTCTCGAAACACAAGCGTTCCCCTGCTCCTGTCGTTTCTCTTGTGCTCGTTACGCCGTGACGCTTGTGTCACTTGTATCGTTGATGACTACGAAACACTAGCAGCAGCCTGACCAGCTACGTAGCAGTCTACAGTCTGCACTCAACCCGCCTTGTCCTGCAGACGCTGGGCGAAGATGTAGCTGACCAGCGCTTTCACTTGGGCATCAGACCTGATAAGCTACAAAGGACGTGAGGCACTCGTGCATGCCATCGAGTGCAAGATAAATGCCAGTCATATTCATGCTGATGCTCGTGGTCAACAACACAAAGCACGCCATGCCGCCACAACAAATCAAGATACAACATCGTTATTCGATCTCAACATCAGCATGGTCATCATCCTCGCCCTCATCATCGCCATCATGCGCAACAACATTGTCAACACCGCAGGATGACATCGACCAGAAGTAGCCGCTCCGTGTGATTCGATGCATTCTTCCGAGTTCAGCACATCACGTCCCAGAGGCCATCGCTGGCAATCACCAGTACGGTGTCCTGCACCAAACCCCTGCCGCAGACTGAAATCGTGACAGCTGCCTTTGTCCCGGCCTGTGGAACTTCGCGTGCGCAGATGTGGGGACGCCAGGTCACCCCTCAGGAGAACCGAGACCAGTCGAATTCGGGTTTCACGTTCAGGGGCATAAGAGACGAGCTGACACGATGATGTTGCGGACTCAGTTCTGTACATCTGGATTTGCATATGCAGATGCAGAGATGTAGGTGCAAGTATGATACTGCTGCTACTGTTATCATTGCATCCATGACCTCGCTGCACAAGCACCGCTGACTGCCATGATGGTGATGCTGACTGTCATCGAGCTTTGGACCTGGGCACCCGGCCACAGGACTTCAGGGAGTGGTCGCCCAGCGCGCGGCTGACTGCAAGTTGGCCTCGGCAGCAGGCAGCGGCCACAGCGGCAGCAGGCACTGCCACAGCGACGGCGAGGTCACGAACAAAGGGACCCCTCGAGCTCATGTGAAGTTATGCTCACGCTGAGTCCCCACTAAGGCAGCGTCCCCCCACCCGGCCGTGATTTGCCACAAAGCCGCCTCCCAAACGAGAGACGCTGAAGAAGCAGACGGAAAGTACTAGGCTGGATCTCGAGAAGCCGTCAGAACGCCAATTGATTCTACATCCAAGGCTGAGGGTAGCTGGTCTCTATGACCAGAACCGCTGGGCGGGCCTTCAGCTTCCACCCGCTGTTTTTCGACAGGATCAGTAGGCCTGGTAGGCTCGCGAACTGCAGCGATTGATGCTTTGTTTGGGGAGGCGGCCGTGCCTATGGTCGCGGGTGAGTCGGCACGCGCCTCAGGAGAGCAAGCCGAGGCCCAGCCACAGTCCCTCTCTGCCCCTCTCCTTTCGGGAGTCCGACTGCCGGACTCCAGGACGATGGCCCGCGAATCGCCCACATTCGCGGACTCGGACAAGGCTTCAAAGGTGGTTGCGTTCAGAAAGCTTCCACAGGTCTCTAAGAAGCCCCACGTGGAGCCGCAGCCCCGAAGCCGTCCGATGTGCCAGCACCTCGGGCCCAGATGCAAAAATCACTGCGAGGTCATCTGCGAATCCTGTCGTGCTGTCACATCCGAGCCCGAGCGCCACGGTGGCCGTGCAGCCGCAGTGCCAAGTTCCCAGAAGCCTTAGACTCAAGGACAGAGCCGTTGTCTGGACAAACCGAGGAACCGTCAGCGAAGGAGAAGAAACCGAGGGCCAGGCTTTAGCTGCTCATCGACTCGGCGGAAAGCCCTGCAGGTTTTCACGGCGCAGAAACACCTTTGCCGAGCTTTTGATGTCACTGTGCCTGGAGAGCACCTCGGCCACCACCTCATCGCCCACCGGCTCACCCGCAGTCCTGGCCGGCTAACACGTGTGCACACCATGGCGGCGCACGAAGACGGCTCTTTCCGGGTGCCTCGTGACGTTGAGGAGCTCGTCGAGAACTAGGCCGTGCAGCTTCGTCTGAACAGCGGAAGAACGGGGTCGCGTTTTAGCAGGGACTTTGGAAAAGCTCCCGTGGCCGAGGCCTGGCAGAAGTCCACCGCCTCAGATCCTCCGTGGCCATCGTACACAGCGAAGTAGCTCCAGAGATCGCCGTTCGGCTCCACCTCAAAAAACCAAGGCCGAGCTTTCCGACCCTTTCTGCCTGGAAGGGGTGAGCCCATGACAAGGAACGGCTCTATGTGCACGGCACGGTCCTCCGGAAACAAGCCGCTGGGAAGCCGCCCTGCTCCTCCAGTCCTGGCCCTCGGCTCCTCCTGGTACGCCCGGAAGGCCGCGTTGGCTTCCAATCCAACCCTGCCAGCTCAAAAACTGAAGCAGCAAGGGACGAGGAGGGGCGCTTTCCAGTCAGCCTTGCCTGCAGAGGCTTCCTCTGGTTCTGGGCACCAGCGCTTCTTTTGGTGCCTTGGGCCTGGCCGGCACATCTAACATCCAACAAGACCTCTCTGAAGAGCTCCATTCCTTCACATGAGAAGACTCCATGCGCGGGTTGGGAAAGGGCCGCGAGGAGGGGCCGCGGCACCTCCGGTGACTTGGAGGCGCCACCTCGCGGATGGGGTACGCTTCGGGATGGGTTGATTGAGATCTACGCAACGTGCATCAGGGGGGTGAGTCTGCATGCTCTTGCTGGCATCTCCTACGAGTCCCCTGCGTCATTTCAGCTAGCATTCGCAAGCAGGCGTCTAACGACGAGAGGGCTGCTCTGTTCCTACATGGCCCATCGCAGCGGAATAAGCGAGCCCCATAATACCAAAAGATCACAATGCCGCAGGCCACGGCAACCCCACGAAAAGATGACCCCTCACTGTCGCCCTCGACATCGAAAGCACCGAGGCGACCACCCTACCCAGGAGCACCGGCTCCGGCGGTGCCACCTGCGGCTCAAGCACCGCAGCATCTGCCCGACAAAAGAAAGGCCTAAACCCTAAGCGACACCCAAGACTAACCTAAAGCATCGACCGCAGGGTCTGAGACCCGCAGGACGCTCACCAAGTCCCCGACCCGGACGCAGAGCAACCTGCTGGGAGAAGCACTTCGGGCTCAACTGAGTTTCACATGGTCGTTATCACGATGAATATCGCAATGATGATCCACGTTACGACTAGTTCTGCAGCCTGGTGAATTTGGTGCTAGTCTTACGTGGCTGAGGGCATGGAAAATAGGATGCCTGTGCATCGGGCCCCTGCAGCCTCAAAGCAGGATCCCCTGATGGTTTCATGCAGCTGCTATCCCCCTAGATGCTAAAAGCCGATGCAGTTGGTCTATTGCACGTATGTTGAGGAGGTTCATATGCAGCAGGACAATGGCATCTAGATGCCTCTAGCAGACAGAAGAACATGAGCCCAACATCTCTTCCGATGTGCTATGCCTGTACAGCTCTTTGTCGCGTGGACGAAGCAAAAACCAGCCCATCTTGCCACCCAGCTGCCACGCCACTCATGCCAGGATGGAGCCTCTCATCACAGCAACATCACGTTTTCAGGGAGAAATCCTCCACTGACTAGTCACCTTCACAAAAGAAATCCCAAGCACATTGATAACTCGTTCGCACCCCAATGGGTGGTTCACAAGGTCTTGCATGGTAGAGCAAGACCTGGCAAGGCCATAGTCAAGAGATTCAAAGCAATGTGCTTGCTGATGATTCAGATGCACATGACGGCCTGTATCTGAAGCTATCCCACAAAATACGACTCTGACCCCCAGACATCTCGAGCACTCGAGTGCGTGCCGCCTGGGGCCTTACATGCATCAAGCCTTGCGCCGCAAGGCGCGCAAGCTGAAGAGTTGCAACACGACTAGGAATCCCGTCACTTCCTTTGCCAACTAGCTTCAAGCACAAGTTCTCGGCAGCATCTGGCCACATTACCGTATCTGCCCTGTCATCCCTGCCTAGATCATCAACTCAGACAACACACCGAGCGAAGCGTCCAGAAACATCCGCATTGGAATCCGCATGGAACAATGATACATGTTCGGGCGGCAGCTTCAAGCCAGCAGAAAGCCCCAACCAAGGAAACAAGCACCTCTGAAGCTTGCGTCGAAGCAGAAAACACAGTCGAGCCGTCTCGATGATGCTGCAGCTGGACGGCAGGAAACTCCAAACCTAAAACCTTCAAGCCCACGGCTTACGGCCTTCAGCAGGAAATCCGAATCAGAATCCTTCAAGCCTTGTCCGCTAAGCCCTAAACGTGAAATGATCAACCCTTAACCGCTATGCCCAAACCCCCCCTGGCAAACCCCAAATCCCAAGCACATAATCTTCGATGCTGAAAAGCTGCTCCCCAGAAGCCCTGCGCGGGCAGCCCTTGCCTTCGCGCATCTTGGAGATCTGAAGTTCCACTCATCGCCCCACCTGGAGGGGCGTCCCTTGTGGGAGTCCCCCGTACTGATGAGTGCCGTCTTCTGGGTGTAGGCATTGGGCGCCACGTCTAAAGGAGCTTTGAGGTCTGGGCTTGGGAGAACCTACGCCAATGGCTGGAATTTGAGCAGACCTAGCAGACGAAGGTGAAGCCCAATACACCGCGCCGCCATACTGCATCAACCAAGTAAGCCTCAGATGTTTTTGCCACTCACGGCAGGAAATCTTCTGTGAAGAACGAAACCCTGAACCTGATGGAGCCCAGGTAACTCCAAGTCGGACTGCTGTTGCCATCGCTGAGATCATCACTGCTACTGGTCCTCCTTTTGGTGCCCGTGTCTTGTCTTACTATATGATCCTGGTACTTCCCACATGCCTCCGACAAATTCCAACATAGAAAACTCTACACCCTGTGCTGGTGCCTGCACAGAAGGTCTCGCTGGGAGCTTGGACCTCATGGCCAACATATACGCACGGAGAAGCACAGATACATTATATACAATATGTTCATTATATAGTATATAAGATACATATATACTAATAGAACATGTTGAATATAGAATATACATATGACATACTGATCTAACTCATTCAATCGGATCAAGCGCCACTGCTCATCACTGCAGGCTACTCGGCTCCAACGAATCACTTGTTTCTGGGTGCGGCACGAGATTCGCCTGGCATTTCCAGAATATTAACACAAGACTTGTTGGGGCCTCTGACGAGCGTGCTTCATTCCCCTCATTCCAGGCGACCCCAAGAGACGTTTGCTTCCAAACACACTCGCACCGGGTGAAAAAAGGATGTGCGAACCCATGAACTCTAACCTAGAGATACCAGACGGCCGCTCCAAAGGAAAGAGAGGCAGAAATGCAACACTACCCTCAATCCGAAAGCTGCCGCTCGGCACTCCTTGGTGCATGGTTTGCTGCAGACCTTCAGAAAGCTTGAGTTCCCAGGCCTCCGGGACGAATTCAGTCCCGGCCTGCGTATGCAGCACGGATGAGTGACACCGGAAATGCCAGGATGCAAAGAACAAACGATCACTGCTGCGACACGTTCCGGCCCGCACAACGCTAGCACTCTTAGGAGGCTCCTGTCAGAACTATATATAGGTATTGCCGAAGGCGCCTCGCTGTCGCTGAGTCCATTGCAGCAGTAGTTTCCCATTGCACAACCCCGAGGGGAAACAGGCTAGCAGGACAGCCGAAGCAAATCCGCGAGTTTGATCATGACATGTAGCGTAGCATCTGAACTTCCTTGAACATCATGCTTGGACACTTGGACCGCTTTGGAAAGTCCGCGAAAGCATGCAACGCAAAGCTTCAAGCGCAATACCGGACGTGTCTTCTGTGCCAGACCCCATTGGCGCTGTTCCCAGAAGATTGAAGTAAAGAAACAGAGACAGGCATAGTGATCATGATGATGAAGACAAAGATGAGGACGACTACGAGGAGGAGGACTATGACGACGACACAAGAGCCTGCATGCCATACTTGCCACCATGACCAGTGTCATCAATAGTGCTTCTCAACCGGTTGAGGTGGAAACAAGCGGAAAAAACTTCCTTTATCATGCAACTGCCAACACTGGCTTCATCGCTACAGCCATCTGCAAAGGCAGATGGAGCTTTTTCCTTGTGTAAGTAGGTGTCCTATTTATTTGCACTGAAAACTATTGGTTTTTCGATAGACTCTCACTTGGCGGCTGGGCTTGGGAAGCAACGAGGTTCCTGTTGTGATCATTCAGCCAACACCTCGATTCAGTTGCACGAAGGTGTTGCCGCACTCGGGATTCACTGGAAGAGACATGCCGCGGCATTTTTGCTCTGACCTCGCTCTCCTCGCGCCCACTGAGGTTCAGCGGGGGATGAGGGTCACGCTGACAGCCTTCTTGTCCTGCAGCTCGAGGGTGAGAGCTGCACCGCTCCGGTAAGAGCACACGGAAACCTGACGTAGGACCGACTTATGATCTTGAAACTTGAAGGGACTTCGCCGGAGCAGCACCTCGGGAATTAACGCCTGGCGGCAGATTAACCAGCTTCGGGCCCCGTCTCACATCGCCTCGAGCGTTGAAGACACTGGCCCAGCTTTCACGAAATGCCCAAAGGCCCAGGAGTTTCGGGCCCTCGGGGATTTCAGGCTGTTCTGAGGATTGCGGACACTGCGAAGGTGCTCCGTACCCCGCTGACCTGTGAGCCTCTCGCCCTCGCATGGTCAGCAAGGTCGGCACCTCGAGCGGGTTCGCGGTTTTAGAGGCTGGGGGCACGGCATGCACGTTCGAGACTGTGCTTGCGGGACGCATGAGGAGGCTGTTTAGAGCCTATAGTGAGCAGGGGGCGATCAGGTAAACGAGAAGTCGCAGGATTCTCCACGATGCCAGAATCAAGCTGATGAGTGCGGCCCCCTACGAAAAACAAAACGATCCGACAAGTATACCAAATAGATTCTTCTTCGGATGGTCCAGCTCCGGCGGAGGAGCGGGAAGCGGCAGTGATAGTGGTAGCAGTGTGGTGGTTAGGGTGCTACTACTCCTCTTACTATAATTGGCACCACAATCACTCTGAGCTCTTACTACAATTCACTACTGGTAATACTATTCATACTCCGACTGCCGACTAACAACAACTACTACAAATGGGCCATTGCCGGGAACCCTTCAATTAACTGGGCTCCACACCCGGCGAAGGCTCACGCCTTTGCGACAAGCCCGAACGCGATACACCAGCCGAGTTTTAAAGAGTGCCACTGAAGAGTGCAAAGAATCCATTGAAATCGTTTTTAAGGTAGCAGCCAAGACAATCAAGGCTCAGTGTTGCTCGCATCAACGAGAACTCTGCACCTGCTGAAGGTTTCGTGTCACTTAGGTAGACGCCACCACATCCCGGCAGTCGAGAGAAGATGACCTCGTTGGATTTTGTGACATTTGCATTCGGACTCGTCCAAGGGATTAGGGCCTGAAGGCATTCACCAACAAACCCTTGACAAGGAACTGTTTTCAATTTTTCCTTCCCACATGTGCGCTGTTGGGATGGACTGAGCCCGGCACCTTGTGCAGCGCAAACACGAGGGGACCGAAAATCTTGAGCATGGCAATACCGT